CCCAATCTTACTTCTACAAACACTCAAAGACAACTCAGAGCAGGTTACAAATAACCCTGCTGACCATTTGTTGCTCATAAATAATCTTTTAGCTTAGACAGACTTCCTTTTGCTTTAAAGAGCAAGTCACCCCCTACAAGAAACTTACTCCACTCCCTCTTCATGTTTGAAAAATGCAAAAAAAGCTGTTGCCTAGCAGACCGAGAGGGCAGAGCCGCTAACAAATACACACACACACACACAGGCTCACATCGGCATTGTGACATCATAAGGACCAGTTTACATCATAGCATACCTCTTAGCCAATAGCGGTGGCAGATTTAAATTCTGATGCAGTGCAGAGTTTTTACCTGACAACGGCACAACACTGACAGTTTTAGGCAGAATATTACAATTTCAACTAAAATGCACTAAAGTACAAAACTATCGACTGCACGTGTCTGCAGCACGATGAGACACACATTTTTGTAGTTTATCAGGAAAAAAAGTTGATTTGGGGGTGACTTGCTCTTTAACAACCCCTACTCATGTTCCAAACACACACACACACACACACACACACACATATACACACACACACATATACACACACACACATATACACACACACACACACATACACACACACACACACACACACACACCAGTGTGTGAGTGTGTGTGTGTGTGTGTGTGTGTGTGTGTGTGTGTGTGTGTGTGTGTGTGTGTGAGTGAGTGAGAGAGAGAGAAATGGTGAATGATCTGTATTTGATACAGTCCCTTGTAGGGTTTTACAACCCCCCAAGGTGCTTCACAAGGAACAGTCATTCATCTACCCACACAAACATTCACATGAAGTGTCTTGCCCAAGGACACAATGACTGCAACAGGCAGGGCTCAAACCTGCAACCCTCCGGTCATAGGCGTCATTTTAACCGGGGACGCCGGGGACATGTCCCCGGCAAAATTTGTGATTGGCAGCTGTGTCCCCCCCACTTTCAAAAATGCCTGCTGATGAGGATTTTTGTTTTACCAGCTCAGATCTTATCCAGGGGTCGGCACCCTGTTCCCATCAAAGAGCCATTATTACCCGTTTCCCACGGTAATTTTGGACAGACCTTAATAAGCAGTGACTTAAGTGAAGCAGGCAGGTCGCGCTAGAAAATTTCGTTTAAAAAGATGTCATAAATGTGTTCCCCCGTCATTTTTATTACTAAAATATGAAGTAAAAACTCACAATTTAATTTTCATTCATTTGTCATTAATATGTAGTCTACACCCGTGCGTTAAGTGGATCATCTTCCAGTAAACGCACAGCATCCAGTCCACCTCTCCAAATGCGTAAAATGTGCATCAGCCGCTAGTTAGGCGCACGCACCGTCAGCTGATCAGCCCAGACAAGAGCAGAGCAACTAGAGAAAGAATAGAGGATAATTGTGTCTGGATGTGGATGGAGATTACATTTTACAGCAGCCTGATCATCATTTAAATACGTAAACCATCACCTGTCTTCTAGTCCACACTATCAACATTATTTTATATTTTAATTGGTGTGTGTGTGTGTGTGTTTTCCACTTCAAACACTGGTCTAACCAACCAGACCAGCGTGTCCAGTAACATATTAATGTTACAATTAAACAGTTTCACTTCATGTAGGCTAGGAACGTTTCATCTGCCGTGGCCCGACCGCTTCTGCTCCACATAAACTTTGTGCGTGATCAAATGTCTCTACGCGTCATGCGGAACTAGACGGGAACAAGCGCTGTTCAGCCAAAGTTTCATAATTTCATAAAAAGAACATTTTCCAAGTGACACATCCCTCAGAGAGACCGGGTTTCCAGAACGCTTCAGTGGGAGGAAATCATCGCATGCGCGTGGTTCTGCACTGCGCTGGAAACTCAGATCTTCAGCTCACTGTCCACCGGGGGCGCTCCGAGCCGCGCTGAACACAGTGTCCAGTATAAAGAGCTCTGATGTTCTGATGGGAATATTTTACCTCCGCGTGTGCGTTAACGATTAAAATGTCAGCTCATCCATGAGCATCCGTGTGCGTCGGGGTAATTTTTTCAAACCAAGCAACATCCTTGAGTTCATCTGTCAAAATAAACAGTCAAATGGAAATATCTGAAACCTGCCGTTTAACTGTTTTGCCTTCTTGTGAAGATTGTTGCAAAGAGAAACAATTAAACTTGATTAACCCCAGAGCCACCCAGAGAACCAGAGCGCATGTGGGAAGGTTCCTCCCACTGAAGCGAGTGTTTTCCAAACCCTGTCTCTCAGAGAGACTTGTCACTTAGAAAATGTTCCCTGATTATGAAACTTTGGCTGAATAGCGCTTGTTCCTGTCCTCAATGTGGCGACACATCCAGGAGCCGTCTGAGGAGAAGCCCAGAATCTCACATCCTCTTCAGCTCATAAAGTGCCTATATGATTACGCACAAGCGTGACCGGTCAACCACCGCAGACCGGGTTGGACCTGTTCAGGTTTACGCAGACAATCTACATTTAGAATTGGCATACAGGTGTAAAATTAATGCAGTAAAATATAAAGCATTTTATTTAAATTTCCATTTATTATTTTACAAGCACAGAGAGTTGCATCAGATGGATGGAAGAGCCGCATGCGGCTCCAGAGCCGCGGATTGCCGACCCCTGTGCTAGCCTACTTTATTGTCCCCAGCAATTTTTAAACCCCACTCAAGTGTATGGTTATTGTCCCCAGCAATTCTGAAAACAAACTGACGCCCTTGCCTCCGGTTATGGGGCAGGCACTTAACTCCCTCTGCAAGCATCTCCACAACAAGAAGGAATGTGGTAAACGGCCTGCCCCACACTAACTCTGAGTGGGGTGCATTAAATGAACTTATGGGGGTTAAAAAGGAAGGCACCTACTGTTCTAGAGGCAGATGGAGGTTTTTTAACCAAACCAAAAGAAATAGCTGATTATTTAAAACTGTTTTTATCAATAAAATTAGAACATTGAATAATACCAGGGAGGAGAGAAAAGATGAAAATAGATCTTATCAAAGAATTACGGATGATATAGTGCAAATGAAAGACTGAGTTTAAGTTTATGGAGGTGTCAGAGGATTACATTAAAAAATTACTCTTAAATAGTTAAGATAAACCCCCTGGAATGGACAATATTGATATAAGATTGCTAAAATTGGTGGCAGATTTTATTTTACTGCCAGTTTCACATATTATTAACATAAGTTTTAATCAAAGTATTTTTCCAGCCCAATGGAAAAAGGCAAAAGTAATTCCATTAATCAAAAATAACCGAGAACCACTGTCTGGTAAAAATAGTCGGCCAATAAGTTTGTTACCAGCATTAAGCAAACTTTTGGAAAGAGTAGCATATGAACAAATACAAGAGTATTTTATAACAAATAGATTAAACACAATTTAAGGCGGGCCACTCCACTACTACTGCACTTGCTCAGATTACTGATCATTGGTTAGATGAAATAGATGATAAAAAGTTAGTTGGTACTATATTTTTAAATTTGAGAGCAGCTTTTGATGTGATTGATCATAAGATCTTATTAAATAAATTAGAACGTTGTAGATTTCAGTCGTCCGCCATTAAGTGGACAGAAAGTTATTTAACAAATCGTAAATTCAACTTCCATTTTAATGGCAGTTATTCTGAAACGGGTCAGTTAGATTGTGGAGTGCCACAGGGCAGTTGTTTGGGCCCTCTTTTGTTTTCTATTTTTATTAATGACTTACCTTTGATTTTAAAACATGCAACCATGGCTATATATGCAGATGACACTACATTTTTTGCATCAGCACAAACAGAAGGCTAATGAAATGATATTTTGAAAAAGGAGTTGGATTTAGTTACACAATGGTTTAGAATGAACAAACTAGAAATCAATGCAGAAAACACTAAGTGCATGATAGTGGGGAATACATAGACACTACAGATGACACCTAGACTGCATTTGAAGCTAGGTAACATAGAGATAGAGCAGGTAGAAGAAGCAAGACTGTTGGGGGTAATTGTGGATTCTAGATTGTCATGGACCAGTCACATAAATCATGTCCTGCTGAAACTTGGAAGAAGTATGGGCACAATCAAATATTGTTGTAAATTTATTCCTCGTTTGCAGATAAAAACTTTAGTTCAAACATTAGTACTGTCTCGTTTAGATTATGCATCAGTTATTTGGTCTAATACAAGTGAAATGAATTTAAATAAGTTACAAGTGGCTCAAAATAAAGCTGCACGAATGGTTCTGGGTTGTAATTATAGAACAAATGTAAGTGTGATGCACGATAGGTTGGCCTGGTTAACAGTGAAATGTAGATTAAAGTATTCACTGATCACATTTATAAGAAATATAATAACTACAAAAATACCTAAAATAATTTATGACCAGTTATCATTTTTTTCGGACAATCATGATTACATGACGAGACAGACAAGTGACATAAGGTGCGCACTACCGCGCTGCAGAACTAATCAAAGGCAAAGAGCGGTTTATTACAGAGCCATGGCTGCATGGAATGCCATACCCAGATTTTTGTTATTAGAGAACAACAGAAGATGTTTTCATAAGAAGTTAAAGCTTTTCTTGTTTACACAACAGTAAATTTTGCACAATGAATTGTAAATGTGACTGATATGACAGCTTCTATAGTTTTTGTTTGTTATGGATGTGATGTGATATGATTTTTCATTCTTGGAAATAGTTATTTATTGCTCATGTAAACTCTCCGTTTTCACTTATGTAGATTTTCCATGAACTCTGAAGTGTGTGGTAACTTACTGGTATATCATTATTGCAATTGAGCTGGTATGATTATAATGAGCTCCTGGAGTTTGTTGTTGTTGGGTGTGTGTGTGTGTGTTTGTGTGTGTGTGTGTGTGTGTGTGTGTGTGTGGGGGGGGGGGGGGTTGTAAAATATTTGTAATGAAATTGAAAGAGACCTCGGGAAGAATAGCGCCACACTATGGTGGGAGCTAATGAGGTTCTCAATAAATAAAAAAAATAAATAAATAAATGAACCCACACTGGGGGGAGCATCTCAGCCACGGCGCATCCTCCTTAGTGGACTCCCATGAGCCTTCAAAGTTCATCGTTTGTTCATGTCATCCACCTTTAAATCAAAAAGAAGATCACGTTTGACATCGTTGTCTGATGTCATGTAGAATGTTGCTCTCCACTGCCAGGATTTAAGTCATGAATAACACACGATGGCCTTCTCATGGCAGAGGGAGTAAATAAGCCGTTAGCTCACACGTGCTGATGTTATCTACATACATATGAAATCTCTTCTTGCCAGAAGTTTTACACCGAACACGTGCGCGATTTCCTGTCTAGCCCTATGTTAACAGCAGAATTTGATGTGTTCCAGAAGAGGCTCACAGCAAAAATAGATCCCAATCCTATCTTCAGCAGTTCGCCATACCGCGCCACGACGAGCCACCCCTGGGACACACCTGAATGATGCTCCAAACACTAATGATGATGAGTTACATCAGAGCCATTCAATTCCGAGCGTCGAGGCCCGGTATCCAGCACATTCAGTGGTTTCCCTAGTCCAACACACTAGATTCAGTGGTTGAATCACATGTGCAGCAGCTCATCAGGCTCTGCAGAAGCCTGTTTGTCACGGCCTTTATACTTCCAAAAAATACGATTTCCAACAAAAGGCCGTTGGTGAAAACAGGTGATTTCCTTTAAGCACGCACTTTAGACTTGATTTCTTGCAAATATTATAAATGATTTATTCTTCCAAAAAAGAGTTCAAAATTCATTCAAAATGTTCTACTTTTGATCAAACAAAAATTAACCTTAAAATAAATTATCAGGTCTAAAAAAATGGTCAAAAAATCATTTGACAAAATCCTCCCATTTTTCCTGACACTTGGCCAACAAACATTCTTTCGCACGCCTCCCCATGTGCTACTAATCAGCTTAATGACTAAGGCGTGTCCAAAAAATTCACAACTACATCAATTTGCCAAAAAATAAAAAATTAACAAATTTAAATTGCAAACTTTACTTATTATAAAGGGAATGATAAAAGAAGAAATTCTAAAAGAAATGTATAACTAACAGATTTATGTTACTTTACTGAAACCACACTGTTAATCACCTGCTGATTGAGATCAGGTGTGTTGAAGCACAGATGGAACTTGGGATTCAAACCAGCAACTCATTGCTTACAAGACAAAGTCCTGAACCAGCGTTGCCCATGCTAGAATGTATTTGATGTATAGGAGACAGGAAATGTAACCCAAACCCTAAGAACAGTCGGCTGAAATCTGTTGTAGTTTTTAAAAGAATGAATTACTTAGTCGTGTTACTGTGTGATGTGGTGGCGTAGACATTCATTGCTTTTGGTTTGCAAACTTTGATCTGCCAGTTATGACCAAAAAAAGCAAACAAAATAAAACTAAATGTTTGTACTGAGCTGAGGTTTTGAATTAGTGAGTTGTGCAGACGCCACCCCGCCTGTGACCCAGAGTTAGCCCAGGGACTGACACCAGCCCCCAACCCAGCAACCCAACACACGACGTCCCACACCAGCTAAACCCGCTGACATGAGTGGTGAATGTTTCCAGGGCTGTGTGACATACTTGAACATGTTTAGCTAATTCTATTCCTACCAGCAAGTGGCATTCAGTAAACAACGTAAATCTTATCACACACATTAGGGGCAGCTAATTAAGGAAAACGTGTCCCGTTGGAATAGGCTCAAATGAATTTCAGTAATGCTGAAATGTAGAACACAACGGCAAGGTAAGTGTTGTGTGCTGCAGCAGCAGAGAGGAATACATCAACATAATTAAAGCCTGGATTATTACAGGTTCAGTAGCTTATTCTAAAGAGAGGCTTTAGGCAATGATATTGGAAAAGAAACATGGAGGTCAAGTTTTACCTGCATGCAAAAATAAATGATCGTTAGGATAATATATGTCACCCACCACATGCACAGGTGAATAATGAGGTCTGAAATCTACACAAGTTATGACTAATGAAGCCTAAAGTAAGGTTTTTTGCTGTCGGTGTGGCTGAAATGATCATACGGGTGAAAGTGTCAGCCAGTCACATGAAACACATCAGCTGTGTGTTCTAACGTGAATCAGAGTCATGAGCAACTGTTTGTTTTTGTCTGTTTCTGCACAGTGGGACGCCATTAATGAGATGGACGAGTACTTCACCCCCATCCACACATACCAGGTGTGTAACATTCTCAGTGTGGGCTTTGGTAACACATGCAAAGACGTAGATTCAGAATTATATAGAATATATCTCTAGAATTTAGGATAAAACTATTTTGTTCTTGCTTCATAGAGAATAGAATAGAATCGAATAGCTCTTATTGTCGTTGTACAGGGTACAGCAAAAGTGGTCTGTCACTCACTTTGGTGCAAAATGTAAAAGAATACAAAAATAATACAGAAATAATATATATGTAAAATCAAGAGTACTAAGTACATACACAGAGTAGCAGCATTTATATTGTAGCGGCAATAGTTGAGTTTTGTGTCGGTCACTATTGTAAGCAGAATTTTAGAATAATGAGTAAACACAAATAGCACATATTTATTTACACGTTACTTAAAAAAGTCACATTTTGAATGTTGAGTACTATTGGTGTGTAAAACCACCATGAATGCTTGTTGTAGTCACTCACACTCGTTAAGCACTAACAGCTCTCCGTGTAGCTGTATAAGGTGTTACCACTTCCTATCTTACCTTTTACTGGTAACTTCCTGAATGGCTTCAGTTTAGGAAAGTAGACACACAATTGCAAACCTTTAAAAAAAGCTTTACACCTGCATCAGTTCCTCATTACACAAATATTTTGAAAGAATTAGGTTATTAAGTCGGTTTGTGGATGTTTACAGCTAGTGTTAGCCTCTGGATACAACATTAAATTAATGCAGACATCGCTGTAAAAACAGAAAAACACAAAGTCCCTTAAAGGAGGACACAGTGGATGACAGTGTTGATATAAAAGACCTGAACAGTTGTACGGGAGTTTTCCTCTCCACTATCGCTACATGCTTGCTTACTAGTGTAGGACTATGTAGGAAAGGTTTTACTGATTGGCCTAATGAAATGAACTGTACTGGAATGTTTACTTTGTTAAGTACCTTGAGGCGACTTGTTGTGATTTGTCTTCATCGTCGTTGTCTTCCTCCGCTTATCCGGGTTTGGGTCGAGGGGGCAGCATCCCAACTAGGGAACTCCAGACCTTCCTCTCCCCAGTCACCTCCACCAATTCCTCCGGCAGGATCCCAAGGCATTCCCGGACCAGATTGGAGAAGTAACCTCTCCAACGTGTCCTGGGTCGACCCGGGGTCTCCTGCCGGCAGGACATGCCCGAAACACCTCCCCAGGGAGGCGTCCAGGAGGCATCCTGACCAGATGCCCAAACCACCTCAACTGACTCCTTTCGATCCGGAGGAGCAGCAGTTCTACTCCGAGTCCCTCCCGAATGTCCGAGCTCCTCACCGTATATCTAAGGCTGAGCCCGGCCACCCTACGGAGGAAACTCATTTCAGTTGCTTGTATTCGCGATCTCGTTCTTTCGGTCATTACCCAAAGCTCATGACCATAGGTGAGGATTGGGACGTAGATTGACCGATAAATCTAGAGCCTGGCTTTTCTGGCTCAGCTCCCTCTTCACCATGACAGATCGGCTCAGCATCACTGCAGATGCCGAACCAATCCGCACGTGGATCTCCCGATCCCTCCTACCCTCACTCGTGAACAAGACCCCGAGATATTAAAACTCCTCCACTTGAGGTAGGACCTCTCTCCCGACCTGGAGTTGGCAAGCCACCCTTTTCCGATCGAGAACCATGGTCTCAGATTTGGAGGTGCTTACCCTCATCCCAGCCGCTTCACACTCGGCCACGAACCTACCCAGCAAGAGCTGAAGGTCAGAGCTGGATGAAGCTAGGAGGACCACATCATCCGCAAAAAGCAGAGACGAGATTCTCCTGCCACCAAACTCGACACACTCCACACTACGGCTGCACCTAGAAATTCTGTCCATAAAGGTAATGAACAGAACCGGTGACAAAGGGCAGTCCTGGCGGAGTCCAACCCTCACTGGGAACAGGTCCGACTTACTACCGGCTATGTGGACCAAACTCACGCTCCTCTGGTAAAGGGACTGAATGGACCTTAACAGAAAGCCACCCACCCCATACTCCTGGAGCGTCCCCCACAGGGTGCCCCTGGGGACACGGTCATAAGCCTTCTCCAAATCCACAAAACACATGTGGATTGGTTGGGCAAACTCCCATGCCCCCTCCATCACCCTTGCAAGGGTATAGAGCTGGTCCATAGTTCCACGGCCAGGATGAAAACCACATTGCTCAATCTGAGATTCAACTATCGATCGGACCCTCCTCTCCTGTACATTGGAGTAGACCTTTCCAGGGAGGCTGAGGAGTGTGATCCCCCTATAGTTGGAACACACCATTCTCAAAGATGGTGACCACCACCCCGGTCTGCCACTCCACAGGAACTGCCCCCATTTACCATGCAATGTTTCAGAGACTTGTCAACCACGACAGCCCTACCACATCCATAGCCTTGAGATACCCAGGATGAACCTCATCCGCCCCCGGGGCTCCGCCGCTGTGTAGTTGTTTGACTACCTCAGCAACTTCTGCCCCAGAGATTGGACAGTCCATCCCCAGGTCTCCCGGCTCTGGCTCCTCCTCGGAATGCACGTAGGTGGGATTGAGGAGCTCCTCAAAGTATTCCTTCCACCGCCCAACTATAGCCCCATTTGACGTCAGCAACTCCCCATCCCCACTGTAAACAGTGTGAGCGAGTTGCTGCCTCCCTCTCCTGAGGCGCCGGAGAGTTTGCCAGAACCTCTTTGGCGCTGATCGATGGTGTTTCTCCATGGCCTCACCAAACTCCCCCCCACACCTGAGATTTTGCCTCGGCGACTGCCACTGCTGCACCCCGCTAGGCTATCCGGTACCCGTCTGCTGCCTCCGGAGACCCACAGACCAGCCACGCCCTGTAGGCCTCCTTCTTCAGCCTGACGGCTCCCTGAACATCTGGTGTCCACCAGTGGGTACGGGGGTTGCCACCACGACTGGCACCGGCCACCTTGCGACCACAGCTAGCAACAGCCGCCTCAACAATCGCAGAGTGGAACAAGGCCCACTCGGAGTCGATGTCCCCCACTGCTCTCGGGAAGCGGTCAAAGCTCTGCCAGAGGTGGGAGTTGAAGACCGTCTTGACAGGTTCTTCTGCTAAGCGTTCCCAGCAGACCCTCACTATGCGTTTGGGTCTGCCAGGTCTACGTGGCATCTTCCCCTGCCATCTGATCCAACTCACCACCAGATCAGTTGACAGCTCTGCTCCTCTCTTCACTCGGGTGTCCAAAACATACGGCCGCAGGTCAGATGATACGACTACAAAGTCTATCATCGACCTGCGACCTAGGCTGCCCTGGTACCAAGTGTACCAATGGGCATCCTTATGTTCGAACATGGTGTTTGTTATGGCCAAACTGCGGCTTGCACAGAAGTCCAATAACAAAACACCACTCGAGTTCAGATCAGGCGGGCCGTTCCTCCCAATCACACCCCTCCAGGTCAAGCTGTCATTGCCCACGTGAGCATTGAAGTCTCCCGGCAGGACAATGGAGTCCCCTGATGGAGCACTATCTAGCACTCGTCCCAGGGACTCCAAAAAGGGTGGGTACTCTGAACTGATATTTGGTGCATAAACACAAGCAACAGTCAGGACCCGTTCCCTGACTCGAAGGCGCAAGGAAGCTACCCTCTCGTCCCCCGGGGTAAACCCCAACGCACAGGCACAGGAGAGTCTTGGTGCTAACAAAAAGCCAACCCCAGCCCTCCGCCTCCCACCCGGAGCAACTCCAGCAAGGGAGAGTGTCCAACCCCTCTCAAGGACTTGGGTTCCTGAGCCAATGCTATGTGTCGAGGTGAGTCCGACTATATCCAGCCGTTACCGCTCAACCTCTGCCACAAGCTCCTGCTCCTTCCCTGCCAGAGAGGTGACGTTCCATGTCCCAATAACCAGTTTCCTTGTCTGGGGATCGGACCACCAAGGCTCCCGCCTCGGTCTGCCACCCGATCTACACTGCACTGGACCCTTCATGTTCCTCCTGCAAGTGGTGGGTCCACAGTTGGATGAGGCCATGTATCCGGTTCGGGCTGGGCCCGGCTGGGCCTCATGGGCAAAAGCCCGGCCACCAGGCGCTCGCTCACAGGCCCCAATCCCAGGCCTGGCTCCAGGGTGGGACCCCGGTAACCCTCAGGGCCGGGTACTCCGACTCTTTATTTTTACGTCCATGAAAGATCTTCTGAACCGTTCTTTGTCTCACCCTTCACCTAAGACCCATTTGTCATGGGAGACCCTACCACGGGCACAAAGTGCCACAGACAACATAGCTCCTAGGATCATTAGGGCACTCGAACTCCTCCACCATGATAAGGTGGCTGTTCAATGATGATTTGTTATGATTTGGTGCTTTATAAATAAACAGAAATAAATTTATGGACTTTTTTTGGCATTTTAGGTCAGATGGAAATCAAAGTAGCTGTGCCATAAATTATATCAAGTTCTGACAAAGTTGGAAAATCACCTGATCTTTTTTAACTCCTGAACCAAAACACTTGTAGGCACAGCCGATTCATTTAGAAAATGATTTGATGATTTTGGCTGCGTCAGTGCAGCAGAACACTCTGGAGGAACTAGTGACTCCGCCTCCTAGCCACCAGTGTGACATTGTCTCAATATGCTTTTAACCGCATTGAAGTAGGTACTGAAATATGAGTGGCAGCCTTGTACATGTTGCTAGTGTCAACGCCTTAGAACCAGGCCCATGCTGAGTAGAAATTTGTGCAAAAGGACCTTTAAGGCTCCAGCAGCTTTGGAAGCTGGTGTTTCTTGCATCATCTCAACATGCTGATGATTTTACTCTTTATTTAAATTAGGTCTGTAATGTGATGAGCCCCAGCCAGAACAACTGGCTCAGGACGGACTGGATTCCCAGAGAAGGAGCCAGGAGGATCTACATTGAGGTCAAGTTCACCTTGAGAGACTGCAACAGCATGCCTGGAGTCTTGGGCACCTGCAAGGTAACGCTTACAGACAGAGCCGGATTAAATAAATGGACTACACTAGGCAGGCTGCATAGCTTTACTATGCAAAAAAATGCCTCAAACATATAAGCATGAAAATCAACAATTCACAATATGAGACACCGAGAGGAAGGCGGGTGGTGGGGTGGGGGGTGGGGGGGGGCTGGGATCCTGTCTCCCCCAGCGAGAGCAGCCCTGTATGGCGCTCAGCCACTGTAGCCACAGGTGGGAGGGAGATCTTGGGAGGAGCGCAGAGCACATTGACACCTGCAGGTTGATGACCTCGCCAGGCTGAAGTTCACCAATCCAAAGGCGGGGGGGGGGGGGGGGGGTAGGTCGAGTTTTCACAGCATCTGTCTGCATTCCTTCGTGGGGTTTGTTGTTGGCATTCACAAGGCTGCCTTGGCGTCAGATTCGGATAACAAGACTTTGTTTGGGTCAGGCAGAGATAATTTTCCTCTCTGCCTTGAAGTCTGTAACTGATCATTCAAGTCCTCCAGTGAAGCCAATTCAGGTTTTAAACATCTCCACACTGTCCAGTGACCCTCTCCGAAATGACATCCATTTTGCGCACTAACACCGGTATCACAACTAGAACATTGTCCAGCTTACGATTCACCTCGAGTAACGTCCCAGTCTGTGAGGTCGCCACACGGACGGTGCTTTCCGTGGGTGCGGGTCGCCCTCCAATTGCTCCCGTCTTCCCAAATTTCCAGAAAACCAGATATCCTCCCACTCCAATCAGAAGAAATCCAGTGATCATCAGGCCAAATATCCACACATCTTCAACGTCCTCAATGAACAACTGAGAGAGGCATACGATCTTCCACTCCCTCCAGGAATCGAGCATATATCCTGCTGCGTGTGTCCCTTGCGGGCAAGTCGGAGCCCCCTTTTCTGTTCTCATCGTAGAAAAAATCTTTTCAATCGCGTTGAATGACCAATTAATTAAATCCATTCTAAAAAATAGGGTTTTTCAGAAGAAATGCAGAGAAGCGCTCTGTGGGCAGACAGGACAAAGAGCCTTGGGGAAAAAAAGATAAGGGAGCAAAATCAGAACCGTCTGTTCTCTGCGAGAGCCGGAAAATAAAGTCTTATAGAAATATGATTGCAAGATGATCAGTAAAAATACATTGATGGTGCCAGATACAGTTAGATCCAGACCCCAAGAGGATCCAAAATATGCTCCCCTTAATGAGTCAGACCCTTGACAGATTCTAGTGTCTAAATGAGTCCACCAGAGTCAGGAAGTCACAGGTGAGTGGCTTGGACTCACAACATACATGAATGTTAAAATCCCCCACAATAAGATTCCTGTCATTATTTCATATTTCCCTCAGAATTGCACCAAAGTCACGTACAAAACCCTTTTTAAATTTAGGAAGGCGATATATGCTGGGAGCTTGGTTGTTCTAGGTTGTGCTTGTATAACTGTGACAAAAAAAGCTTTTATATATTTGAATGCAATCTATGCTAAGCCAATCATTACAACCTTTATTGGTTATAATTGTGGTGATTATGGCTTATAGTTTATGAAAACTACAAATTCAAAATCTTTAGAATATAATATAAAATCAGTCAAACGCAGACATTAAATTAAGTGTACCATGCTCTTTTACACCTTCCAGAGCAATATTAAGTGCATTATACACTGCCCAGCCTAAGATAAAGTTGCCACTAAACTAAAAAGGTCACACAATTGTAGTGATTTAATGTAATGTGTGGAATGTTGTAGCAAAACATTTCTTAAGTATCTGAGAGAATTTGTGAAGTCTAGGTTGTAAAAGAATCTGGGTGTATGTTTGTTAAACTGCAGATTTGTTCACAAAACCCATCCGACACAATCTGTGTCGAATCTACGCAGCCTTAATGTGGAGATTCTCGTGCGATCCAGGGGGTCAAGAGGTCGTGGTGGACACTGCCGGTGGAGTGGACCTCTCGGTATCAGGAACCTGTAGATTAGCTCCGATAGGACCTGTCTAGTCTGAGATCTTGTTGGATAAAAGCTGAATATCAAGCAGAGTTCCCCTCATCATATATGTCTAGATGTTTTTGGGAAAAGTACTGACTAGGGATGTTCCGATCACATTTTTTTGCTCCCGATCCGATTCCGAGTCATTTGATTTTGAGTATCTGCCGATACCGAGTCCCGATCCGATACTTCAGCAATACAATAAAATAGCAAGAAAAAAAGGAGACTGCACCCAAATTGACCTGTTAGGTTTATTATTATTAATATTATTCATATGACTGCATCCAACATGATACCATAAGAAAGTAGAAACATTTTGTTAGTGCAGCAGCACTTCAAACCAAGTAAACAAAATTATATCTTTGTAGCTTATCAGTGGTGCAACAATATGTAAACAAATTTGTTTTTATAGAAAAGTAGAAAAGGTTTGTAAAATAACTCAACACAATAATAGAAGTTAAATTAAAGTGCTTACCTCCACCTCTAAGAGGTAGTTGCATAATTCAGTCAGGTAACAAAATAAAATACATCTTAGGCCTTTAGACTGACTAGTTTATTAAAACGAACACAAGATATGCCTAATCAAAGTGGTGCACGAACTTAACACCATTCAAGAATAAAACATCAACATCAAATTGCAAAGAACTGGTAAATCACCTCTTCCATGTGCTCTACATGGAGCTCAACTTTTACTCTAAGGCTCCCAAATAAAGTGCATGTTTTTTTTGAGGAAAATCAGCATCTCTAACTTGTCGGGGGAGAGCCGATTCCTATTCTCGTCAAGAATGTTTGACACTGCACTAAAGAGTCTCTCACTGTCCACTGAGGTGCAGGGGGCACGGAGAAATTTGGTTGCAACAGCAGCCAGTGAAGGGAACTGTGTAGCATGTGTTTTCCAGTAGTCTAGAGGATTGCTTTTCCTTGGGATGGTTTGTTCCGAAAGGTAGATCCGTACCTGGACATCTGCTGATGTGGTACTCACAGATTGGGCCTCTGGCTGACGCTCTTCTAAGATCTCATCTTAAATGCTGCCAAGGCTGCTTCCTGCTCCTTGACGAGGTGCCTTGCTCACAGGCTCTGCTGCCTCTGGTTCTTCACTGGCAACCCTGTTCTCCTCCAACTTCATCACCTTCTGGATGAGGGAATCTTTAGCAAACCTCAGGTGGTCTGACTTTGTGAAATATCTACAAAATAAATGTAACAAATTAAAAAAAATGTTAGGCAAGACACTGTATAACACAACAGTTCAGCTGAGGAAATGTTATATTAATGTAATAGTAAATAATTCTCTAATCATTAACAGAACTAAATCTAAATTTTAAAAACATAATTAGACATTGGCTGACTTACAATTTTGAAAATTTATTTTCTTAGAATCAAATTAAAAATGTACATTAATTCTACTTGCCTGTCTTTGTATCTTGGATCCACTAAAGTGGCGATGCTGTAGAGCGGTTCCTTTTCTACCTCAGCAAAGCGAGTCTCCACGGCCTCTAGGAGAGTTCTTTCATGGTTCGAACACCCTGGTCAGTCGTGTCCTCTCGAGACAGGACACGTCTGAGAGCTGTTTAGAGAATGAATAGATGGATAACAGTTTATTACTTATTTAGAATAAAAAACATTGTGTGTTCTTTAATTAAAATGTAGAAAATAAAACAAAACCAACCTGAAATGGCAGGGATCACATCTGCTGCAGTTGCAGTCTCCTTGCTCACTTCCCTAGTCAGTTCTTCCAAAGTGTTAGTTCCCACACTTCAGCTGTATTCTCCATCAGGTCCACTGACTAGCTGTTAGTGTAGCAGGGAGGTTGTGGTCCGCTGTATAGATGCTGAGCGCTCGCTTTTGCTCCAGAATGCTCTGTAGCATAGAGAGGCTGCTGTTCCATCTAACATGCACATCCTGCTGCAGGCGCTTCACGGTCATCTTCAGAGAAATCTGGAGATCTTCCAGGCGTGAATAGGCCAAAGGAGAATGTTTGAAATGGCCTATTATCTTCCTGGCATTAGCCATTGTGTCTGTGACGCTGCGCTGAGAGAGCAGACCCTCGTGCACAACAAGTTGAAGCGTGTGTGCAACACAGCCCAAGCTCGGTACTGTCACGCACAATTACATGGACACGTTCCTTTTCAATTCCCCAACTGTTCAGCATCTCTCCGATAGCCTGTTTCACATGCTCTGCTGTGTGAGATCCGCGAAAAGGTTGCGCATTTAACGTAGCACGTTGTAAATTAAAACTCGAGTCGATCCATTGTGCAGTGAAGCTGATCAGTGACATTGGACAAACAGACAAACTCCATATGTCCGTGGTAAACCCAAAAGCAGACACCTTTGATAACATGACTAACAGGTGGTCACGTAGCTTGTTGTGAATGCTGGGCAGAGCTGTGTCTGTAAAGTAGCTTCGAGAAGGTAACTCGTACCGTGGCTCCAAGTGCTCCATGAGACGGCGAAATCCTACGTTTGAAACCACAGACAGCGGCTGGTCATTAGTGCAATAAATTCAGCCATCTTGGCTGTGATGTTCTTGGCCTTGTCGCTATCCTTAGGAAGTTTTTCTTTGTTTTTCAGCACAGCTTCCAGTGTCGGCTGGCTCCATGTTTTGATCTGCGTTGCCGCGGTGAACTCGGAATATTGAGCTGGATGTTTGTTCTTAAGATGCCGGATCAGGTTCGTGGTGTTAAAAGCAGCTCTGTCTTTTCCGCCACGTGAAACACTCAGTTTGCAAATGTTGCAAGTGGCTGTTGGACAGCCTTCGGTCTCCAGTTTAAAATGATTCCAAACCGCTGACATTTTTTGCTCTCCTGGAGCGAGACGAGCATTAACCTGCTAGCTAGCTGCTACCTGAGTTCCACGGTCCACTTTAAAACGTGTGGCATTATGGCTGCCATATGGTGTCATGTTGTTATTGAGGAAGTGAAACTTGGTACAAAATTAAGCCATTGTTATTCAATTTGAAACTCAAGATTGATTAAAAATGTCATGCTTGTTGTTTTATAAGGTTAAATCCGATCTTTAACACCCGATTCCGATCTTTTAAAAGTCACGTGATCGGGCCCGATTTCCGATCACGTGATCGGATCGGAGCATCCCTAGTACTGACCCAAATACGTCTGACTGTTTTCAGCACCTCCTTTCTGCTTTAGGCATTTTGTTCCATTATTTGACGCGAAACTAGTCAGACGAGGAGTTTCACGCTATCAGAAGGATCCCTTTTGTTTCTGAGGCCAAGGAGGGTGTGTGAGGAATTTGTGGGTGTGTGTATGTTCGAATAAAAACACTCCACAAGCTTTGGCTGATTTGTGAGAGGAAACGGCCGTCGTGTCCGGTGTGTTTGATTCTCTCACCCTCTGCAAAGTGTCACACTTTGCAGAGTTTGTTGTCTGTTTAAAGGTTGTTTACAATTTACCAAATTATGAATCTAATCCCTCTGTGTGTGCTCTGACTTTCTTTGAGGTAATATAAGAACAATAATAGAAATTACCCAACAGATCTCTCCAGGTGATGACAGGAAGCTGGAATGTTTGTTTGCGTCTAATGCTGTTGGTTGGCTCATAGAAGAGCCGTTTTGTCTGATATCACTCGCAGTGCTGCAGAGAGGCTTTTGACTTGATGTCAAAAGAGATAGTTTCAAAATTGCTTCTTCCCCTATTTGGCCAAATCGGAAGTCAGCTGGAAACTGAATTAATCCCGGAAACAATTCTGTTTTATTAACCCTCTCAGGCTCAAAATAAGTTTTGATAAAAGGACGAACAACTAAGTCCTTCAGGGGTACCTGTGAGTTAACAAATGCTCATGAAATACGCATGTGGAGTAACCAGGTAGGTAGGTTTTAACGTTGCACATCTGCAACGCCTGCCTGCAGAGGGTTCAAATAGCATTGTTGACTAATTTTGGCAAATCATAATTTGACACGTTTGAGGGCTTTTTCAAAACATCTCTCAGACGTCACACCTCCACTCAGATCCTCCGAGAGGTTAACTCTTTGTGGGAATGAGAATGTTTTAAAAACAGTAATGTGAAGTGAATTTTAACACTAATAATTATCTTATTATAATGAGTGTAGATATTGACTAACTTGTCAAATCAAACACATACTGATCTGGTGTAGAGAAGATCTGAAATGGACCACTGTAAGAACAATATTCATTCTAAAGCCATCAATGATTTAGGCAAAGATTATTCAAACATTTGATTTAAACATCTTGTTCATTCAACACATGATTATTCCCATTTATAAGCTGTAAAGTTATTTATAATTCAAGATGACTTTTCCTCAGAGTGAGAACGCAGGAGCCTGCATGAGGTCTTGAGTGAGAATGTTCTGACTTCTTGCAGTTGCAAGAACTGAGGCAGAGGCATGTTTGGATTTGGGGACAAACAGATGGTGTTTCCCCGTCTGCAAATGAAAAGTCACCCTCTGGTCAGTTTGTAGGTGGAAAATTTGACCACTTGGTACTTTTTACACAATCTGATATTTCATTGGACGGGTAGTGTCTGAGTTTGGTGTAATGGTCCAAGTTTGCTTGACATGTGGAGTTTGGATGATAAAATAGTGTCCTACTGAAGTATCTCTGTTTGGTATGATATTCAGAACTCCAGTTCTCTGTTCTGCAGGAAACCTTCAACCTGTACTATTACGAGTCTGACAGGCCCGCAGGCTCGGCCATAAGAGAGAACCAGTTCATTAAGATTGACACCATTGCTGCAGATGAAAGCTTCACAGGAGTGGACCTGGGAGTTCGCAGACTCAAGCTCAACACTGAGGTACGATCAAAGGTGTCAAATAGCTAAGTGCTTTGTTATGTACCTTACTTTATACGAAACATTGGGTATATATTTTATTATATTGCTTATTGGTTTGTATGTGATACATCAATTCATTTAACACACACACACACACACACACACACACACACACACACACACACACACACACACACACACACACACACACACACACACACACACACACACCAGTGTTTCTATGGCTGCAGTTTCGTTGTAGATTCAATTTCTTAATAAAATAAGCTATAGTTAAACGGGTAAACTAGTAGTAGCACATTCAATGTCTAAGAGAGTAAAATGTTATTATCAGGAGAGGGAGAATGTTAAGTGGTGTAGGAGTAGCATACGTATGTATTTTGGGTGCTTTTTAAACTCAGTATACCAAACTATATTTGACCAATAAGATGTGAATTTCTATTTAAATATGGAAATCCAGTCTGATTGGTCTTTGAATGTTAACCAGAAGATTTTGAATTCTTTATTTATTCAGGGATTGTAACACACTTCGTATTAATTCAAGAAGAGAGTCAAGTTTACAGAAGTAAGGATGTATTTTCTAAACAATTAAAAACATGACAACTTTATGTGATGGATGGAACATGAGGTGTGGTGATGGGGGAATGTGATGTTATCAGAAACTTTGTATCTGAAGAACTGAGTTATGAGTGGGAGTGAATTTGGTCTGCTATAAACTATAATTGATGGTTTCCAAAATCACATCAGACGCAGTCTGTTGAGTCTACGTACCAGCTCGGAGACCCCAGAGGTACCGAAGTCCTTAGAAGAAACCTCAGTGCTGACTAGACCAGTCTCGAGATGTCTCCAGGTCACGACAGTTGTTATTTACATCTTAGGAATAACTCTTAAGGAGTTGAAGTTGGTTCAGCTTTATTCTGAAGGAACCGTTTGCGGTCAGCTGTAGCATGCAACAGGTTTTGACAGCTTGTCAAAGATGCGATGGGAGCAGAGTTTCCCTCCGATGGCCAGTCAGCGTTAGGCTCAAATGATATCACTCAGGAAGTGATGCTGTTTAAATAATGGCCATATTTTGGTTTACTGATGAATCAGAACCTGCCCTGTAAAGGGATTTTGCCAACAACTCAGATACACACCTCCCTCAGATATGAAGATGCTGATTTTGTGGACAAGAAAATATCTATGTGCAGTGACATTAATTTTATCTTGCGTCATGGAGATATGGTGAATGGCTCTTGTCCAGCCAGTGCGCTGATTAAATTTATGGGTCATTTGTTTCATTTCATCCTTGTTGATCTTTCAATGTAATAATAATATTCATTTCAACTTCAGTAATTTAAGCACAGATTAATCAAAACATTTAATTTAACCATATTGTCCATTTCACTATATGGTTATATGATTCGTTATTCTCATAACATTTGTTCATTCAACCATATTATTATTTAATGATTATTTAACTTATGAGTTGTAAAAGTTCCTCTTTCATGAATGAGAGTGAGCAATCCTGCAGTCTTATCAAAATAAGGCGTTGTTTGGGAGCATAGGCTGACATCTTGTTCCCCCTGAAATGTCAACAAGGGCTGCAGAATCTTTCTTGGCTTTAGAAGACAGAATAGAAACTCCACTCAGATAGGGGAATTAGGTCTGTAGGTGACCAGACATTGTGCATACCAACTTTATTTATAAAGCACATTTAAAAACGGCATGGCAGCCGACCAAAGTGCTGTACAGAATAAAAAGTAAAAACACAATATAAAACAATACACGGTCAACAATAAAATGCACAACAAGGCAGATAATTACAGTCAATAAAAAGACACATAATAAAATAATAAAAGTCACGGATTTAAAAATGCCTGGTCTTAAAAGTGAGCCTTAAGCAGCGACTTGAACCGGAGGAGCGATGGTGCCAGCCTCACTGAAAGAGGAAGAGCATTCCAGAGTGTTGGAGCAGCGTAGACAAAAGCACGCTGCTCCCGCGTTTTCTATTTCATTGGTGGAACGTGAAGGAGCAGGCAATCAACAGACCTCAACGCCTGGTTTGGCACATAACGAGTGACAAGATCCGACAGGTAATCCGGAGCCAGACCGTTCAGGGCAAAAGTCAGGATTTTAAACTTGACTCTGAAGTTTACGGGTAGCCAGTGGAGCTGCGCCTGTACAGGTGTGAGATGGTCTCTTCTAGGGGTGTTTGTTAAAAACCTGGCTGCCGCGTTCTGTACGACCTGAAGCCTGTTAAGAGCGGAGGCAGGTAAGCCAATTAAAGTGGAATTTGCATAATCCAGTCGAGAGATGATAAAAGCATGAATTACGGATTCCAGGTGTGCTCGTTTCAGGATCGGTTTTAAGCGAACTAGTCTGTGCAGCTGATAAAAACACGATCTGACCACTGCGTTAATCTGAGGGCCCATGGAAAAGTATGTATCCAGTTTCACCCCCAGGTTGGCAACACACTGCTTGAGGTCATAAGGGAGAGTGTCCAAATCAGAAGATACGTGTGTGGTTTTGTTAGGGGTCATCAGGAGTGCCTCAGACTTAGAACCATTTAGCTTAAGGAAATTGTTGGCAAGCCAAACCCTCACTTCAGTCAAACATTGGTCCAGAAGAGAGATGGAGCCTGGTTTGTTCAAAGTCAGGTAGATCTGGCAATCATCTGCATAAATATGATAGCCCAGGCCATGTTTCCTCAGGATGAAACCCAGGGGAAGGATGTAAATTGAAAACAAGAGAGGCCCAAGCACAGATCCCTGCGGGACTCCCCATGGAAGTGGAAGGAATGTAGAGGAACTATTACCCAACTGAACCTTGAAAACTCTGTTTGACAGATATGAGCAGAACCACTGAAGTGAGGTACCCCTAAGCCCCACCCATGACTCAAGTCTATCCAGCAAAATATCGTGGTCAACGGAATCAAATACTGCAGAAAGATCTAATAGTAGGAGCAAAACAGGCGACCCAGAGTCAGAAGCCACCAGGATGTCATTGGTCACGCGAAGAAGGGCTGATTCGGTACTGTGAAGTGGCCTAAACCCGGACTGGAACACACCAACCAGAGAAAAGCTATTCATGTGTGCTGTAATCTGTGAATAGACAATCTTTTCAAGGACCTTAGACAAAAACGGTAATTTGGAGATTGGCCGAAAGTTTGCAAGGTTTGAGTCATCTAAACCAGTTTTTTTTATTTGTTGCACAACCGCCTTTTTAAAAGAAGTAGGAAACACCCCAGTAGCCAAGCTAGAGTTAAAAATGTCTAGAATTGTGGTGCCCAAAATAGGGATGATCTCACCCACCATCCTCGGGGGGAGAGGGTCCTCGGGAGAACCTGCTGGTTTCATATTTCCAATCAGATCTGACAATTCACTAAGAGATATGGAAGCAAAGTTACAGAATGAGGGAGGTTCTGGTGGTACATCAGGACAGCCAGATCCTGGTTGCACAAGACCATCCCTAATGTCGCGGACTTTGTGAAGAAAGAAGGTCTGGAGCTCAGCACACAACGACACAGAGGGATCAACACTACCAGGTTCAGTTATTGACAAGATGGAGTTGACAGTGCTGTAAAGTTTATGCTGATCACCCTGATGCTGAGAGATTATGCATGCGAAGTATTTGTTCCTGGCAGATCTAACACTTCTCTGATACAGGGCAAGGGCATCCATCAGAAGCTGCTGTGAGATTAGTAGCTTGTCCTTTTTCCACCTTCTTTCCAGCGCCCTGCAGCGCCGCCTGAGGCTGCGTGTTTCCTCGTTCAGCCAAGGATCAGAGGTGGTTTTCTTCCGTTTAAGTTTAAGGGGAGCGACTGAGTCCAGGGCAGCAGACCAAGTCAAATTAAAAGAATTTAAAAGCCATCCACATCCGTGGTGATCCCAGATGAGGAAGGATTGGATAATTCAACCTCCAGGATGGACAGTAGTGAGGCAGTCGTGGAGGGAGAGATGTGCCTTGAGTAGCGAGGAGCCTGCCTTCTCTCCACAGGCAACATGGCAGAGATGTTAAAAACAACTGAGAAATGATCTGAGAAACTGACAGGATGAACAACCAAGTCCTGCACCTTCAGTCCAAATGATAAAACTAAATCCAGTGTGTGAGAGTGCTCATGAGTGGGAACATTGACCAGTTGCTGGAGGCCAAATGAACCCAGAACATCTGAGAAATCTCTCACCAGAGGATTCGACGGACAACAAACGTGAATATTAAAATCACCAAGGATGACACCTTGGTCGTACCTGGGGAGATATTCAGCTAAAAGGTCAGAGAAGTCCCTAATAAAAGCAGAGTTATATTTTGGTGGTCGGTAACACAGAATAAAAAGAATTGGAGGGGAGGGACTGAGCTCAAAAACAGAGACCTCGAAGCTGGTGGGGGGTGATGAGCCCGGGAGGCGCTTGAGGGGGAGGGAGGATGAGTACATAGTCAATAGGCCCCCACCTCGACCCGACAGTCTGGGCTCATTCACAACAGAACAATTTGATGGACAAAGTTCAGCAAGTGTCGCTGACTCACCCGGTGGGACCCACGCCTCCGTCATGCAGAACAAAGTTAATCCATTATCGATAAAAAATCCTTTTAAAGCATTTTTTATTCCCCGGCGAACGAACATTTAGTAGAGCCATCCTGAGGGAAGACGAGGACGTTGAGGACAAACACGGGCGAGGACGCTCTTCGCCGGACCTCACAGGATAGGTTAGATTCCTCCAGTTCACCCCGCCAATACGACGCCTCCGTTTGGACCCCCAGCTGACAGGATCGCTGTCATGCCTGTGGAGAACCTGGATGTTGTGTTCCGAGGAATCATCAGGGAACCAGACCCAAACCCCAGAAGAAACGTTGCCACTGGACTGGCACATCCAGGAAGCTCGGAGCTGGACATGAGCGCCACTACGCCTGCCGCGTCGCCGCCGCTTCCACCGCGGCTCCACCAGGCGGAGGAGAGGAGGAAGGGCGGAACTCCATCAAACAGGCTCCCAAACGATTGCTTGAATGAGGCATAGTGAAGTTGG